ATACTTGAAATACATTACAAACAAGAAGCAAAATTTTGAATTTTGTACAAAATAGCACAAAAATACCCTATAGTGACTTCAAAATACTGTTTAAATCGTTAAAATACGTTCAAAACAGTTTAAAATCAGTTTAAAAATACAGCTGTTTTGGTAAGGGAGGAATCGGAAACACTCTTCTTTCTTGCGTTGGACTTGATATCGCACAACCTGCAGAAACTGAAGTTCAGTTGTATTCGTTCTTTTTATTCCCACTTTTCGAGCTTTTCGCGGAGTAGCATGCATTTCCATGCTAAGATATAAACCTCGTGATATTGCTAATGTTTCACACTTCAGTAACATTGATTCGACTCGCGCAAGAAGTCATTCATGCCGAGAAGCTCGCACTAGTTTTTGATCGGTGAACGAATTGACAGTAATAGATAGTTGGTGAAATCGGATTACAAGTAAATTGGTGGGTGATTATGCGGAAAGCCCACTACCTAAATCTGGCGCTCCTTCCCCTTCTTTCCCACGCCAGTAGCTTGCACTAGCAACGTTCCTCACACGGACAAGCTCGGATGATTATTGAATAATGTGACACGTACAGAAAGTGATACTAATTTAGATTTCTCGGAAATGCCGGAATCCGAATGGTTCTCAACGTGCACAAACGGCACAAAGTGGCTAATTAACAACTTCGATCTACTTTTGAGATTTATATAGGCAAAAATTAAAGTTCTGTATAAAGAAGAGTGTTGGATTTTCACACTATCGATCGCCAGTTGACGATTTGTTTCGTTGTTGTGTATATTACGAACGTTCCTCACTCAAAACCCGGCGGAATTGCAATGAATTTCAAACACCCTTAGACGAAAAGGGCCTCGTTTACTTTTAAGCCTTGGTCAAACGGTGCATGATAGGCGATCGTATCATCAACTATCATCGACTATCATGCACCGTTTGACCAAGGCTTTACAGCTGCTGGTCATAATAGGTCAATACTGGGTGATAATTCTGCTCGTGTTGGGTTACAAAATCGTTTATAACCAGGCTGTATATCCTAATCACAAATATCTCCTGCGATTGCCATTTATGGGACAGCTGATCAGGGCTAACTTTTTCATCACTGAACACCTCCAAGCCGGAATACTGATCAATACGGGACCAAATTTACTGCCAAAACGTGGCAATCAATGTGATGTCATTTGGTGGCTTACATTACATCTTATTTAATGTTCCTTGTAGCCCAATCGAGACCCTTTCCTTTATGTTTCTGGATTCAATAAATAATTTAAACACATACAGTGCAGTTCAATAAAATATCAATCAGGAGCAGGGTTGGCACAGTGGTGAGAGAGCTCGCCTCCCAACAAAGTTGCCCTTGATCGATTCAGGACCGATGCCATATGTGGGTTGAGTTTGTTATCGGTTCTGGCCTTCGGCTCCGAAAGTTTTTTCTCTGGGTTCTCTGGTTTTCCTCCCTCCACAAAAACCAACATCTCAAAATTCCAACTAGGATGAAGGACGCACGTGAATACTATAAGCTAAGGCTGATGTGGCTTTCTCTCTGAATATTGTAATTGATTGAAGGAATAACAGGCATACTCACAAGAACCACCTCCACCTCCTTTTCCACACGCAATGACGCAATTCTGGTTGGTACCAATTGCTACTGCCGCTAAAACAAGAACGGTGAGCTTGACAAAAGAGCTCATATTTATTTCACGGAGCTTCGTGTAACTTGAAAGAGGAAATGGCACAACCGCTGCTAATTATGCTCCCTGGCTGAAAAAAAAAAAAANAAAAACCCCGAAGCGTAAAATGAGCTATAGATAAGTATAAGTTAAAAGTGAAATCTGTCATTACTGCACATTAAGTGTTTTTTCAAGGACGAAGAGTTTCGGTTTCCGAGCTTCCAAAAGTACAATCAAGGCGCTTTTCATCTGGATGATTCCGGGAACTTATCCAAAGAATGTAAGTAGATGTATGCAAGTTGGTATATTATCCTCGTTCTGAAAATCTACCTGGGTGAGTAAAAAGAGAGAATTTAAACTTAGTTTGTTGACGATTTTGCAGCTAAGGAACCCTTTACTTGGGATAGTAAAGATTGCGTTTCGCTGGTAAAGCACTTGATGGTTCTTGTTAAATTTGCATAGATAATTAAAGTTTCAAATACCAAATTCTAAATCAGCAAACCAAGTACGCAGGTGAACGACTCAAGTAGTTTAAGGCCTGGCTCAAAGGCTTTTACCGGTGAAAATAATTTATTAGTTATATTTCTGAAGGTATAAATGGCAATGGAACCAGATTTAGCACACAGTTAGGTTTTGACATCCTGAATATAACAAGAGATATAGCTACTCAACCAGAATTCCATATGGCACACAACCATAATTAGGATAGACTGGCGAGAAAAGTTACTGACGAAAACATTCCTTTAAATGACAAATGAATTTGTCTTGAGTAATGCTCTAGGCCAATACTGTACCGTCTCCTTTTTATGCATATTAAACATCAAGTCATGGTCCTGTAGCTATTACTTTCTACCAAATCGTTGTTTCTTCCCCCTTTTTAACTCGATTCACTCAAAGAGCTGATATAATCTTGTTGAAACATCTGCTACAAAGCAGAACAATAGTTAAAGCCGAAGCTGAATTCTCGAAACACTTTCGGCACGCTGCTCTAGATAACCACGAAATTCATGACTAATAATAATTCGATTTTTACCGAGCAGCACGTGGTTCATTAATAGCAATTTCATTAGCTACATTCTTGAATCGTAATATAACCTAATTACAGAAATAAAAGTTAAAAGACGAGTCTTTAAACCATAGAAGCCAAATATTCTTACCTCTGAACGATAGTCACAGATTACAACGTGAGCAGAATGTCTAAATTCCTCACGGTAAAATCTTGGGCGAATACTAACGTTTGAGATTCAGGTGGGCTGCTTTTTGTCTCCGCGGTAATGTTGCAGTGATTATTCATTATTATTCTATAACAATACTACCGTTGTTCTATACACCAGACGCAAGTCTGATTTGTTGTGTGGGCGTTCTGCAAGATTTGCACTTTCTGTATCAACAGTCTATTCTGTAGAACTTGGTATGCTAATTTCTTCTATTTTCATTGTTGGCACAGGAACGTCTCTAGAAGATCATGAATGCTATCTTGTGGATATGTACGCTGTCCATGTTAACGCCACAGAAAAGTGCACAAGTATACCGGGGTAAGTTAAATTATTACTTAAACTATTACTTAAATTAAAATATGAATAAGTAGTACAACTAGGAACCACGTCACCTAATTGTCTGAAATAAGAAAGACCAACATAACCCAGTAATATTCCTCCTTGAGATATTTGTTGGGTCTTTGTCCCTTTATTAGTGCGGAAATTCGTATGGGAATAATGAATACTTTTTACTCACTTTGACCTGTTAATTTATATTACCCGTTGCATATCTGTCAGTAGATTCGAAACACAGGGCTGATTTGTTAAAAAATTGGTGGCACGTTTATCTTGCATTTGATTGATTACCCTTAGTTAAAGGAAACTGATTTCGTGCCACTAGAATATTGGGAATATTGTGAATGCTATCGTGTATTCACAATATTCTAGTGGCGCGAAATCAGATTCCTTTAAACTGCGAATTTATTTTCAATCGTAACAAATGATCGATGAAGCTACATACCTCTCAAAGTGACGTTGTTGTCGGCAACAATCGCTTAATTTAATCCGTTGACTAAACTTTGCTCAAGAAAATACCATTTTTTTCGAATTTAAAGGTACCGATCCTAGTTTTTCGAGCATCTCAACTTTTTCTGTTCTTGTTTTTCTTTGTTTTTCCAAGAATTGCTCAATCGAATTCTAAAGGGATGAACTGGTCTGCATCCGTTCAAGTCGTTGACAAATAATGAAACACCCAGACACCCAAACTGACAATACTGGCTTTAGAAAACGAAATCATCGCAAAACGTCTAAGCGAATAATTACAGGGTGCATTGTACAAAACGTTTTCGATCAAGTGCACTGCTCAATGAAGTGCATGCGATTAAAATCGACGTTACTGAATTTTCTTATACTTTCATGGCTTGAACATATACAAGCTTGACCAAGAAAGATACGGGCATGCGACGATATACGTGACGGTGACCGTTACAACAAGTTTGAAAAATAATCTGGCTGCACAAAAGCGTCGAGAATGTTGATGACAGAGCAAAAAAATTGATAAGGAAAATTCGTGCATGTCGAAGTAAACAACGCTGCTACTAAAACTGTCTGACTTTACATATCGATACTTCATCTGTAGTTAAACTGAAAAAAGGCAAAGATTCGAAGGAAAACTAAGAGTAAAAGCGTTCATTCTCCTGTTTACCGCATAATATTGCGGAACTTGAAGTCTATTCGGTGGATTTCAAATTAAGCCGGGAATTGGAAGTCGCTCAAAATCACACATAAATAATTGTGTAAATGTGTCAAACTTGACCCAATCAACGAACACTGGCCACTTTTCCGGACAGTGACGACGTCAACAGACAGAATCAGTGGCTTAGTAGTTCAGAGGTTCATCTGAGCTAGGACTGCAATTCACGTAACAGTTCTTAGCAGTTTTTAACGTTCTGAAACTTCTTTGATCGCCTAAGATCGATTCCTTAACGTGTGTTTGGAATTTACTGAGACCCACAGTCAACGTGTCAAAACATAAGTGCCGCGTACTTACTAACCTAAGTCCATCTCTCTCCACTTATATGATAACGTTTGTTCCGTTCCTTTTTCTTCTCTCTCCCTGTTCTTAGCCACGTTATGCAGTCCACCTTGTTTACTGGTGACAAACACATCGGACATTGTTGCCATTAACTACACAACTGCAGCTGCTCATTCTATTATCTCGGGTCTAACCAGAGCTGTTACCATAGATGTCCATTTTAGCTTGGGTTACATATTTTGGAGTGATGTAACAGAACAAAACATCAAACGCTTCCACATTGACGTAGCAAGCACGACGACAATTGTCACTGGCATTGGAGTTTGTGATGGACTGGCGGTAGATTGGAGGACATCACAGCTGTACTGGACTGATACGACAAATGACAAAATATCGATATCAGATCTTAATGGCAATAACCAACGCAGCCTCGTTTCCTCGGAACTGGAGGAACCCAGAGCAATAGCTCTGGACCTCGATAATGGGTATGCATTATTGTTATTAATGTATCTTTTTAGAATTTATTTCTGGTTACAGAAGCTAAGATTTTTCTCGAACTAACAAACTTATGTCACTCCGCTCAATCACTTAAGAATCGGTAACTCGAATATCCTAAATTTATACAAGGGCGTGATTTCCTTTACCTTAGATGTAATAGGGTTATAAAAGATATGGTTATTTACTGATTTTAGGGGGAAAAAATACAACACGTTGCTTTACCTGGATTATCTATGTTTTACAATTCTTTCCTTCGTTAAGCAATAACGAATTGCATATGTAGGATCATGATTATTGGTTCAACTTCTCTGGACATATTGATACGGAGTGAAATTTGTGTTCCTTCGCTGTTCTCGTATCATTCAGGACAATTGGAGGTGTGAGTTATATTTAGGGAATCTTTTGCTGACATGCAATTAATTGATTGATTGATTGATTGATTGATTGATTGATTGATTGATTGATTGATTGATTCTTTCATTGAGGTTAATGATCTGGACTGACTGGGGAGTTAACCCTAAGATTGAAAGAGCTTCACTAACTGGAAATCAAAGGCTCGCCATTGTAACAACAGATCTTTCCTGGCCTAATGGTATTGACCTCGACAAAGGAAACAAACGAATATTTTGGGTGGATGCGGGAACTGACAAGGTCGAATCGGTCGATTACAATGGCAACGACAGAAAATTACTTTTTCAACAGAGTGGCTTACATCCGTTTGCAGTTGCATTAATACCCCCTTTCTTATTTTTCACGGATTGGAATACGTATGACGAGTTTCACCAACTGGACGCCTCGACTGGGGAAGTGCTTCGAAGTTATAGCATCAATGGTGGGCAGCCTATGGGCATCGTACCGTACGACAGCTCACGACAACCAGCTGGTATTTAAAAGGAAATTTCATGTCATGAAAAGAGCTCGTCTATTTTGCAGTGATTGATAAACTGTCTGTCTGCCTGCCTGACCACCTGACTGACTGACTGACAGACTGACGGACTGACTGACTAATTCAGTGATTCGTTGATTGGATCGATTATATTGAAGTGATCGATAAACGGCCTGCCTGCCAGACTGACTGCCAGACTGACTGCCAGACTGACTGACTGACTGACTGACTGACTGACGGACTGACTAATTCACTGATTTGTTGATTGGGTCGATTATTTTGAAGTGATTGATAAACTGCCTGCCTGCCTGCCTGCCTGCCTGCCTGCCTGCCTGCCTGCCTGTCTGCCTGAATGACTGACTGACTGACTGATTGACTATTTCACTGATTCGTTGATTGGGTCGATTGCTTGATTTTTTGAATGACTGATTGATTGATTGATTGATTGATTGATTGATTGATTAATTGATTAATTGATCGATCGATCGATGAATATCAAGTTTTCTATCTATCTATCTATCTATGAATGGATGGATGGATGGATTGTTTGTTTGGTTGGTTGGCTGGTTGGTTNGCTCCTTGTAACATATGGCTTTGCAGATTTGGGTTTAAGTCGTGGAATCAGTGAGGACAAAGGCACCTTGTAAAGAACAAAAAAGAATAGAGCGAAAGCACGCTAACATTATTTACTACTCAGAGGTTAAAATAAGTGATGTCGATAGATATAACGTTGGCTGAAAAAAAATGCTCTGTGAATGAAACAGGTCTGATCTCCTTTTGATTCATTGTAAGGTCTACTTACTTGAGATTTTTAAGTTGTCGACATTCGTTATAATAGCAGGTGAATACTGAGAGCGGCATCACCAATAGTAAGGAAGTCTTTATGTACTTCTGTGAAATATGAAGATCAGTTCGATTCTCATGGATTTATTTGTTTAATGTTCAAGGTATGTTCGACAAAACAAGCTCGGACAAATTCATAATTTTTGCTGAAGCAGACACTGGAGAAATTTACAAAGTACCTCTGGAAGTGCCCGAGATCCCTTGCTATCCTCTGGAAATCAGCACAAACATCTCAAGACCCGTGGCCGTTGATTACGATCCAGTCGAAGGAAAAATTTATTGGAGTGACGTGACATTGGGATTAGTGGCCAGAGCATTTCCTAACGAGTCCTCTGTTGAAGTTATTGCGTATAATAATGTTATTACCCCGGAAGGACTGGCAGTAGATTATGTTGGACGTAATATTTATTGGACAGATGAGGCAAATAATAGAATTGAGGTCGCAAGGATGGATGGGTCATCTAGAAGGAGTCTAGTCACATCAAACATCGAAAAGCCAAGAGCCATACTGCTTGATATTGGAGAAAGGTAATCCAAACTTTAAAAAAGCACTATGCAATTACATGGCGTTTAATTCTGCTGACATTCTATCGAATATCTATGCAAACTATCAGATATCTATGCAAATTAATATTTTGAAGTTCAGTCACTCTTCTATTTCTTTTAACGATCGTTCTCGACGTTTTTGAGACATATGGTCATCTTCAACAATGCTTTATAATGTTCGAGAATGTTAACAAATCTTCGGAAAGGGGTCAGTCTGTTTAGAAATAATTCTGCTTTTTCCGGGAAAAAAAGCTATCATTGTAAGACAATGTTCTCACCAACGTTTACTTTTGTTACCGCTTTATGCTCATTTGCAACACTATCCTTTTAGAAAGATGTATTGGGGTGGCAGAGGAGTATCGCTAAAAATCGAACAAGCCAACATGGACGGTTCTGCCAGGGCAACTCTTGTTAGTTTCGGACTTACGTGGGTGAACTCGCTCGCAATGGATTACCAAAGTAGACTCCTGTACTGGTGCGATGGGTACCATGATAAAATTGAGAGGGTGGACCTACAAGGAAATAATCGCGTGGTGATACTAGATTTATCACTGGATTCTATGCACCCATTCGGACTCGCACTATATGGTGACGTTCTCTTCTGGTCTGACTGGAATAGTCGAAGTATTCACGAGTACAACATGACAACTTCTTTGAAGGAAGTCGTTGTTCACGGAATGGGCCGACCAATGGAATTACATATTTATGATCAGTCCAAACTATTTACTGGTTAGCATTGTATTTTTGTCAGTTGATTTGATTGTGCCGAAACATGTTGATTTCATGGTGGCCTAAGTTTTAACTAGCCTCTTACAGATGCCTAACATAGACGACAGATTATACTAATAATACACATCATTGAAAATATGTACTGCACACGAATTATTTTGGTGAGTTATTTGAAAACTAGCTACGAAGCGGCCAAAATAATCCTATATACTGTCATATATCAGTAGCCACGGTCATCACAATCAGTAATCATTTTATCTTGTATTGTAGATGTGTAAGAGGCCGGAGAAAATCCTGTATGTATATCTATCGAAAACTGTCGGCTAGGTCAATGAGACAAGAAATGTTCAAAGAAAACAGCTCCTCTTCGCCGTAAAAGCTGTGTATACCACGAATCGTACTTTAACATGGACTGAACGACACTGGTCGATCCTAGTTTTGGAAACTGGCTAGCAACAACATGGCTCAACCCAATCAAACTTAAAAAGAGAGCTGAATTGAACATAAATTAATTGGATTTGCAATACAATAATAATTAACAAGATACCTCTCCCTTGCGCCTTATAGGATCCACTAGTTGTTCGCAGTTGAATGGGGGCTGCAGTCACCTTTGCCTTCCAAATCCTTCCGGTCATCAGTGTTTTTGCCCTGAGGGAGTACAGTTGAAGCCTGGTGATGCTTTTACATGCGAAGGAGGTAATTATATATGGCATTGTTGTGGCAGTTTCAAAAGAAACTAGGTCCCGTTGATCTAAGATCTTATTTCCAAGAAAAATAGGAATATCCAATTTAATGATTCTTTTGGCGAATATAACTTTTAGTCCACAGGTCAAAATAAATATACACACACACCTGCGTCGATGGTTTCTGAGTTTTTAGTCTAGTATTTTGTTTTTCTTTTTACTTCTGAGAGGACGAATTTGCGGTATTCTGAGATCTTTAAAATACTCTGTCACAAAAGTAAGGTGAAGCATGTGAAGCTCTACTTCAGTGTAAAATAAAATTCTGTCTTCGCTATAAGACTGGCCGCGTCTCTGCGTTCGGTTAGCAAAGAAACAGCGCGGAAAAGGGCCGTGGGAATAATACAAAGGACTGTGTTTATGGCTAGGAGTCATAAAAAATAGCTACAGACTCCAGGAGCAACTCATTCCCTTCAGAAGTCTAAATTGTGTTATTTTTTTTCATGAAATAGTGACTAGCTGTCCTCAATTGACAGCCCCTCTTCATGGAAGCTTAGCGCCGTGTAATAGTTTCCCAGGGGACAACTGTCGGTTTTCCTGTGACATTGGGTACGTCCTGATTGGGTCAGCTACTCGCACATGTGATAGCAATGGAGTATGGAGTGGAACACAACCTCGGTGTAATGGTGAGGTGTCAAACCTGCTCTTGGTTGAAACTCGATTACATTGATTGATAAACGGGATTGGGAAGTTTTTCCCACGTCCACGAATTGTAATGAGTACACGGCAAAGCACTCGAATATGTTAGGATAAATATTCTTTCGTTGCTTAACAGCAAAGTTTAGAACATATTACGCATGGTTTTCCATTAACTGGATTTCATTTCAGAAGTCAGAGAGAGAGAGAAACACCCGAGGCAATTCATAGCCGTAGCCTTCCCAGTCGGCGCCGAACATAACTTTAAGAAATCTAGAATGGCATAAAAACCAGCATGTGCTTCGCCTTCACCTAACCGCCTTGCACTGGAGCGGCGTATAAGGCCTTCACCTTCCATATAACCGAAATGTGTAACATTTTGTCTTTTCAGCTGTTACGTGTCCAGCTCTACTAGCCCCACCCAATGGCATTCGTCAGAGCTGCACAGGAACAAGATCAGAGGATTACAACACTGTTTGTTTGTTTTCCTGCAATGGTGGGTTTAATGCAATTGGTTCGCCATCAAGAAGATGTCTCGATAACGGAACCTGGAGTGGCCAAGATTTCCTTTGCCAAGGTGAAATAGATTATTACTCATCACCGTACAGACGCTCACACTAGAGGACTTAATTAATTGAGATCCCTTTTAGAGCGGTTTTTTTAGACCCTTTTTGTTGTTGTCCGATTAGTGGCCTGGCCTTTGAATAACAACGAGACCGGAGATTACTTGGTATGATACAAACCTCACTCCTTCTGTTGTGTAAATCAAATTGTTCTAATGCTGACTAGTTCGCATTTAAATGAGTAACGCAGCGAGTTCTGTATCAAAGCAAGGTCACCTCCAGCCTCGGTTGCATTCACAAGCCAGGTAACTAAACACACAACTGTAAAATGGCCTATTACTTTGATTTGGCCTGAATTTTGCTTTACCACAGTTTGGGATTGGCTAAGTAGTCTTATTGATAAGTAATTGGTTTGTTATTGGCATTCAATTGATAACTTGTCTAAAAGTGATAATTTATTCGTTCTTTTCAAAGCCGTTTCCTGTGTGCCTTTGAGCATCCCTTCAAGGGCCATTCTGTTGACTGTTTCCTGTGGTAATACGTATGGATCCAGCTGTGTATTTGGCTGTCAGAGTGGATATGGCAGTGTTGCCGGAAATGTGACCAGAACATGTTTGCGGACTGGACAATGGAGTAGAAATCCCATCAATTGCACAGGTAAATGTGTACAGTATAACAGAAAATAGGGTTTTCTTTCATTGACCTCAATTAGGTAAATGTTGTAGACCAAAGCTCTCATCTTGCACTCGGGTTTAATCCACTTACCTAATAATGTTACATAACAACACTTTGAGCACCATATCAAACAGCATAACAAGCAAGTGCTCATCCATGGACAAAGAAATTAGAACGACTTTGCACAAGATGATAAATAGTAACTCATAAAATTAATGCTAAGTAGCTTTCATTTGAATGATTACACACGAGAGTTCCATCCACAGACGGAAAAGTTTGTTTTTGTTTGCTTTGTTTTTTTGTTTTTTTTTAACAGACAGAGACTTAAAAGTTGAAACCACCTTGTACACAATAATAAATAGTACCGCATAAAAGTATTACTCAAAAACCTTCATTTCAAACGTTGCACTCTGGGCTAAGGGTGCGTTTCTTTACTAAACAATTCATTCCAAGATCATTCGGATCATGCTGCATCAAGAAAAATAAAAATAAAAATAAATAATAATAATAATAATAATAATAATAATAATGATAATAATAATAAAAAGGATCCACTCTGGGCTAGGTTTCTTCGGCTACTTTTATGATCCATGAACCGAGTGATCTTGGATTAGGCTTTTAAGTAAAGAAACGAAAAATCCGTTTCTGGATTTAAGAATCCCATGCAAAAAATGGCTAAACTCTTTGTTTAGCTTGTAGCATATTTTTATGTTACTTTTCTTTTTAATTAACTATTGTTTTTCTTGTATTTATAGAATATTCATACTGTTTTTTGTTGTTGTTGTTTTTTTTTACTTGGTAATGACGTTCGAAAACGTCTAAACGTCGTGTATTTTTTGAACAGTTTAAAAAATGTCTTAAATGTTGTTAAGAAAGGTTGTGTCGTAATATTTTAAAGCTAAATCTTGGATTTTGCCAAAGAAACGAACTCTAAGCTTTCACACACAGATTAAAAGTTGGGTCCATGCACATCATAATAAACAGTACCCCATGAAATTACTGCTATATATTTTTATCCAAATGGTGGCACACTAACACTTCATCAACTGACTTCTTTTTCTGTTGTTGAAAGAAAAGGTCTAATGCAACACTCGTTCTTTTTGTAGACGTTCTTCCTCCAACATTCGGTGTCACGTGTCCAACGAGCCCATTGCTAGTGTTTGCAGAGCGTGGTATGTTTTCAGCCCAAGTAAACTGGAACAGACCGAATGCTACTGACAACTCAGGGGCCGCGCCGTCACTGTCGTCAAATTACAAACCACCTCAACGATTCAGTCAGGGAACCCACGTGATCACATACACTGCAGTGGACCAATCAGGAAACAGGGCTACTTGTATCTTCACTATTAAAGTAATAGGTATAAAAAGGTTATTTCTTGATGGTTGTCACAACAAGGTGTTTATCATACGATATACTAACCAGCTTTATTGTTTTTAATGTTATCAGTTATCAATTGTACGTCACTGACAGTCGATTCAGGAGGTGCACTAAGGCTGAGCAGCTGCGGTAATCATTTTGGAGTACAGTGCAACTTTTCTTGCACGACTGGTTATCATCTGAATGGTTCGTCAACTGTCACGTGTGTTGCCCCTGGCAATAAACCTCCAGGATATTGGGACAATCCTTTACCTAACTGTCAAGGTGCGAAAGAATAAACACAAGCTAGCTTCTAGTTAGTTCCCCTTTAATGCTTTTAATCATACTAGAAAGACCCAATATGTGTCGTGTGTTAAGCTCTGTTGTACTGATTGGAGATACTTTAGATCAAGAAACACATATTATAGATAGAACTGAAGCCTTGTTAAATATCCCTACTGGTTGGAGGCCGACCAGTTGGTTACATGTTTTTACGAAACATGAATGAGTTCAATTCATCAATGACCACAACTCCTCTATTGATATCTAACGGAAGTGAGAAGAGTCTTGACCCAGGACCATATCTGATTTTAAATCCAGCGTCCTAGCCACAAGGCTACGCTAAGTACTAGAGTCTCTGCAATCGTTTCTGCCAAATTTTTACTGGTATGCTAATAACAAAATTATTTTTTCGAAGCCTTGCAGTCATTTTTTTTTTTTTTTCACTCATATCTCTACAGTTATAAGATGTCCTCCTCTTTCTACTCCAACAAATGGAGTTAAGACCGGCTGTACTAATGTCGCATGGGAACCTTATGATACACACTGCAGCTTTTCATGCAATGTTGGCTACAATATGATCGGTTCTTCAGTAAGGCGATGTCTGGTGAACGGGACTTGGAGTGGAGAAACTTCTTACTGTCAAGGTAACAGATGAAAACTATTTACATCAGAAACTAAAGAGCAACGAAATTAAATTTCAGACGGAAAAAGGAAATTGTTTCAAAATAACGGAGGTTCGAAATTACTTACAAATACCCGACAGTAAATGACCGAGAAGCAAACAAGGGAAACTCCAAGCAAAGTGGTTTTGAGTTCGAAAAAGCGGGGAGCTTCTAAATTATCAAGTTCGAATTAGGAGAGTCCAGCTGTATAAAATAAGTTTTACCTTGCTTTAGAAAATACAGCCAATCAGAATACAGCAAAGCCATTGTATACAAGACGATATTGCACCCGACCTTTCCATCGTGGGTTGCACGTTTTTCGCATTGATGGTGTTAGCCACTGTAATTTCTAAGACATGGTATAAAATAAAAGCGAGTGTATATCAAGAAAATGTAAGCTAAGTGGCAAGTGGGATATTAATTCCATGGTAGACCACGAGAAAGCGTTGCATTGCATATTAACTGATATTTATCCGTCAACTTTCATTATGTCTAGTAATCACGTGTGGTCCACTCGTCCCTCCAACCGATGATGTTGTACGTGTATCTCCATCATCGTGTCTGTTGAGCAGTCCGTATGGCCAGACATGCATTTTCACTTGTCAAAGACCAGGATATGTCCTTGAAGGGACATCTGTGCGAGTATGTGGTAATGACGGGCAGTGGACTGGGTCGAACAATACAAATTGTAGAGGTATGATTATGTGGCTTAACTAAATTTGGGAATGGTTTCTCTTTTCTTCGAAAATTTACTGGTCATTTCATTCTTTGAAATGGTTGCGGCAGACGAGAGTCTATTTCACAACCGTTGACTACCATTTATTACTTCGGCTACCATCACGGAAGTCCTTCAAAATCCGTTTGCGCCGAGTTTTCGCGCTCCTAGCTTCGATTACATGTCAACCAGCATACTTGTTGGGGCTAGGCCTAGAGACCACTTGAAATGAAAAAAAGCCAAAACTGATCACTAGTATGCGTAGCCAAATGTTGACGGGTGAAGTTAGAATTTTAATCAATTAATTAAATATTTTAAACTAATTAATTAATTAATTAATTAATTAAT